TTTTTATTGGTGGTTTCCGATAAACTTGAAATCTTTGGTTATTGTCTACTTTGTGAATGAGGACGTCGAGGAAAGGTAGCTTGTCATAGGACTCTTCTTCTAGTGTAAACTGGATCGCCGGTTCAACGCGTTGAGCCTTGCCCGAAGATCCCGTACAAACAAAACGTTTTGGAGTTATTACGAGGAAAATCGTCCACGTAACGTAACAGTGATGCTTGAAGTGATGATGTTGGCGAAGTGTTCGGACTCTAGGTGTTCCATGTATAAGTTGGCTAGGACGGCAACTTATGGGGGACCCCATTCCCATGCCGTAGGTTTGTTTGTAGAGCTTGTTATTGAAAGAAAAACAGTTGAAATTAACACAGAGTTCAATTAAGTCAACAAAATCTCCGGGAGGTAGAGGAAGATTAAGGTCCTGATTGACTATACGTCGTAGAACCTCGATGGCTTTTTTGGTAGGTACTTTTGTGAAGAGGGAAGTCACATCCAAACTGCTTAGTTTCTTGTTACGGATGGAGAGGTTACGGATGCGGTTAAGATTTCAAGTTTATCGGAAACCCACCAATAAAAACGATCTCACACACTTCTATTCCAGTCAAGATACCAAGACCAAAAGAGGCATCATCATCGGGTTTTTCCTAAGAGCATACCGAATTTGTAGTCCTGAGTTTCTTGACGAGGAGTGTACATACATTCACCAAACATTCACAGAGTTACATTTTCCTTCTTTTTTCATCAAAGACTGCAAGAAAAGAGCTCTTCAGATCATAAATTCTCCACGCATCAACACCACTCCCAGCAAAGTTATAATTCTTCCCAACAGTCAGGTTGCATTTGAACTCTAAAAAGTACTTTCACAAGCAACACCAGAGTCCCATCGCTTCTAGCATTTCAAAAAAGGGAAATATAACCAGGAAAAAACCCCAAAAAAGCACCACAAAACCAGTCAATGCGGGTTTTTTTACACTATACCCGGTGGAGGCTTAAACAAGATTTACGAAAGGTGAAACACCAGAAACCTCAAAACCCGCCTCAATGAACCCCATTTACGCTGTGGGGAACATAACCTGAACAACCCCCTGGGAACAACACCAAAATTCCCCAACCAATCATCTCATGAAATTCAGAGACCCCCAAATTTAAGTGACCCAAAGAAACTTTTTTTCCGCAGACGAAAGTGCCTCGAATAAACACTGATCGCTGTTTCGAATACAATTAAACAAAACCAAACGGCAGCTTCACCACTCCAAAAGCCCTTAGCAAGAATCTCCTAAAAACAGTAAACCCTGCCATCCATAGCCCTTCTCCTGTTATACACAAAACACAGAGAGTGAACACTGAAACAAGCTGGGCCTCATTCCAGTCTAAAAATTTTTTCCAACCTATTTTTTTTGTTACCCAAGTAATAGCTTTTATAAACCTTTTTAAATCCCTGTAGAATTTAATTTCTCTACCAAATTGTATTACTTTTTTTCACTACCACTACTACTACTACTACTACAAAAAACTACTACTACCAAAAGTGAAAAAATCAAATGGGAAACCCCAAATATTTTTCACCTCACTCCCGAGCCCTTTTTATACCCTCCCCCCCCCCCCGGTCCATGTATTGTTTTTTAAGGCTTGATAAAGCTCCTGGGGAGCGAAACGTTGCCACAATAAATGTCACATTAGTTGCACTTGTGTCCTTTTACTTTACATATTGTCGGTAATTCTACCAACTTTATTACAAATGTGGGGCTGATAGTGCTGTCCTGGGAGACAGTAATAGTGAAGCTGGAGGTGCTGTCCTGGGAGACAGTAATGGGGAAGCTGGAGGTGCTGTCCTGGGAGACAGTAATGGTGAAGCTGGAGGTGCTGTCCTGGGAGACAGTAATTGGTGAAGCTGGAGGTGCTGTCCTGGGAGACAGTAATGGTGAAGCTGGAGGTGCTGTCCTGGGAGACAGTAATGGTGAAGCTGGAGGTGCTGTCCTGGGAGACAGTAATGGTGAAGCTGGAGGTGCTGTCCTGGGAGACAGTAATGGTGAAGCTGGAGGTGCTGTCCTGGGAGACAGTAATGGTGAAGCTGGAGGTGCTGTCCTGGGAGACAGTAATGGTGAAGCTGGAGATTTTGTCCAGGTAGTCGGGAAATTATACGCAGGAAGGAATACATATAAATGACCTCATAGGGGACAGGAGCCGTAGTGGGGAAACAAGTGTAGTCAAAGATAAGATAAAACCAATATTGCAAACTAGAAATACCACAGGAAATAGCAAACAAGAGGACTCCACTAGCAATAGTGAGGATATATTACCAAAAACAACTGGTGGGAGCTCCATTGTCGGTGCTAGGGAGGATAGGAATAAGACAGGGAAACATGCACCAACAGGGAATACAGTCACAGAAACCCAAGGCAAACGGAAACCAAGCCTGTGCACATACTATGCACTTAGTATCTGCAGACATGGGAAATCTGGAAAAACAGACGGGACGTGCAACTATGACCACCCTAGAAAATGCCATGCCCATATGACAACAGGAAAATGCAAACTCCCTTCCTGTAAGCTTTTTCACCCTGAAATGTGTACCTCTTCAGTACAGGAAAGACTGTGCTGTAACTTAAATTGCCAGGCACACCATCTAAAGGGGACAAAAAGATACAAAACATCCAGGCCATGGGAAAACCTGGGTAGCCACAGCCACTCAAGAGAGAGGTTTTTTAGTGCCAGGAAGGAAAAAAAACTGGCAGGAAATGGCAGAAATCGTACACCAAATCCAGTCATTCCTGGAGTGGAACCACAGTCGATGGCCTCCACTCCAAACCAACAGATACAGATACTAATGCCGGAAAAAAAATCCCCCCCCAGTACCAACAATACCACCAGTCCGATGACATTCTTCTTTGCAAATATACAGGGTCTAAAGCCAGCAACAAACAACAAAATGCCTTTCATCCGTGGACTGCTTGCAGAGGCAAAGGTAATGTTCGCGGCTTTCACCGACACCCACATAAAGGATCACTTGGACAACGAAATATGGATCCCAGGTTACAACCTATACAGATGTGACAGAGTGAACAGGCAAAAGGGGGGGGGTTGGTCTGTACATTGCAGAGTCACTTGTTTGCACAGAACTGCTTAATGCCTCAAATGATGTAGTGGAAGTTTTAGCAGTAAAGGTCGAGAACCAAAACCTAGTCATTGTGGTAGTCTACAAGCCTCCAGATGCAACATTCCAGAAATTCCAGGAACAGCTGTTAAAAATTGACCACTGTCTGGAAAATCTTCCAGCTCCTGCACCCAACATCTTGCTCCTGGGGGATTTCAACTTAAGGCACCTAAAATGGAGGAATATAGCAAATAATATTGTTGAAGTAATAACACCAGGAGGCAGCTCTGATGAAAACTCTCACTCACACGAGCTTTTAAATCTCTGCACAAAATTCAATTTAAACCAACAAATAATAGAGCCTACTAGACTGGAGAATACACTAGACCTCATCTTCGCTAACAATGATGATCTGATAAGAAATGTCACCATATCAAAAACAATATACTCAGATCACAACATAATTGAGGTTCAGACATGTATGCGTGGAGCCCCAGACCGACATAATGAGACTAGTCACAAGGGAGCATTCACCAAATTCAACTTCAATAACAAAAACATAAAGTGGGACCAAGTAAACCAGGTTCTAACCGATATAAGCTGGGAAGATATACTAAGCAACACAGACCCCAACTTATGCCTAGAACAGATTAACTTGGTGGCACTCGATGTATGCACAAGGCTTAAGCCTCTAAGAAAAAGGAGGAGTAGATGTAAAATAGAAAGAGACAGGCGCTCCCATTACAGGCGATGGAAAAGAATAACAGAGCGGCTAAAAGAGGTCAATATATCTGAAATGCGTAGGGAGACACTGGTCAGAGAAATAGCAAGCATCGAAGTTAAGCTAAAGGAATCTTATAGGAGTCAGGAATCGCGGGAAGAACTAAAAGCCATAAATGAAATCGAAAGAAACCCAAAGTATTTCTTCTCCTTTGCCAAATCAAAGTCGAGAACAACGTCCAGTATTGGGCCCCTACTTAAACAAGATGGGTCCTACACAGATGACAGCAAGGAAATGAGTGAGCTACTCAAGTCCCAATATGACTGTAAAAGTCACCAGTATGGATTGCAGCAGTCTTCTCAGGGTGATGTTGCTCCACAAATGAATGCACTTTAGTCCACATTGTACAAATCGCCTTAATCTTTGAAGAAGGGACCTTCTTCCATCTCTCTTCCTCCTCCTCTGAAGCAGTTTCCTCAGCTGTGGTTTGTTGCTGTTGCAGACGAAGCTCTTGCAGCTGATCAGTGGTTAGGTCTTCATTGTGGTCCTCCATCAACTCTTCCACATCTTCCAAATAAGATATTTCTTTGCTAAGGCTACAATATGTATTTACATATCATAGTACGATTGGAGCAAAGTAAGCCAATATGCCGAGGCATTTCAGGCATTGCGTTGGTAGCGTACTCGGTTCACACACTGAACGAAGGTCCACGATTGATGCGTTGTAACCACTCTGATAATGTTAGTGAGTCTTTGTGATCATTTCATCATTTATTACACCAGCAAAATTATTAGGGAATGGATAGGCCTACACAGGACAATAAAAAATGAGGGCAACTAGAAACTTCAGTGAAGAAACACTGGTAAATAGGCTACTCACTTGTGATTGAACTGTGGTACCCCATTACTAGTGTAAATGAAATTGTTAATTTAGAAATTCAGAAGTCCAGAAAGTCATAGATCAAGGCAAGACTTCCCTAAATACACCCAATGGGAGCCTATATTTTAGACTTCAGAGTCTGCAGTAAAGCTACCACAAAGGAATAATTTTATTTATCTGTCCAAATTTGAAATTAAAGTGCAGTACTGTTGTATATCCAGTTTATAATGAAATTTAACATCAGCTAGGGCAAAATGATAACTGTAAAAAATTTGTTATCTTATGAAATACTGTACAAAAATTATTTTCAGATTCGCTTTATATTGATTCAAAACCGTGCTGGAAAAACTCGCTTGGCCAAATGGTATATGAATTTTGATGATGATGAGAAGCAAAAGTTAATTGAAGAAGTACATGCAGTAGTCACAGTGAGAGATGCCAAGCACACAAATTTTGTGGAGGTAAGTCTATTTCTCTCTTTTCTTATCTTTCCCCTTCACACTCTTCACCTTCATCTTCTGTTTCTCTCTATTCTCTGTTGGGGATAAATATCACTTAATTTTGTACCAGTTAGATGTTTTGGTTGCTGAATCATAGAAGAAAGGTATCCCCATGTCCCTCAAGTCCAAGTCTGTAAGTACCTCCCGTTATTATCATGTTTTTATCGTCATGCAGGAAAGTGTACTTATTGAAGAAGTTCTTCCAAAGCAGTATTCAAACCCCATGTTTCATGCTCATACAACAGTATGGGCACCACTATACTCTGGCACATTCCCCCTTTTTGCCTGTGTGGACCAGGTTCTTTGTCCTCGCAGATGCCTCGCTGCACGACGCATGTTTTTTCCTTTGTCACTTCAGTGGTTCACCTTATCTTTCATAGTCTCATTGCTTACATTTTTTTGATACCCAGATCACCCTGTTCATTCCTATGTTTACTTTTAATTTCCTTATTTACATTCTTTCCCAAATTCATTTACCAACCTTTGTAACTTTTTTCCAGAATCTCCCAAGCAAAATAGTGTCATTAGTTAACAGCAACTGTGACAACTCCCACTCTCTGCCAAATTCATTATCTTCCAATCCCACCTCTCCCAAACACCTTAGTATTCATTTCTTTTACAACCCCATCCATAAATATGTTAAACAACCATGGTCACATCACACATACTGTTTAAAGCTTGCTTTTACTGGAAAATAATCTTCCCTACATAACCTAACATGCACCTCGACATCTCCTTTTCTAAATCTGTAAGTACAAAGAAAAGTTCCTTGCCTTTATCTAAGTACTGTAAAGGCTTAAATAATGCCCCCCACCCCAGTAATAGATTTTGGAAGCTGTGGACATAAAAACTTGCCAGACAGTGGAGGAATCATCAGATAGAATGGAAAAAGTCCATAGATTCAGGATTTTGTCCATAGCGATAGTGTCTGGTAGTCTTCTGAATCAGCAGACTAAGTGCAGTGATTCAAAATATTGTCTGGTATTGGCCAGTGTATGCATCAAGGATCTATCTGTTTTCATTTTCCCACAGCCATAGGCTGCCCATGTCACTTTGTCTGTGGTCACTCACACGTGCACTCACCATTCAGTCTCCAACTTTTCTTGGATTTAGTGTTTTGTGTGACAATTAACACATAAAGTGAAGTGCGGTTAACTCTGGCTCTAAAACAAGTGGTGGTGCCACAAGGAAATGTGTAAATCTTGGTGTTAAGCACAAACTTAAATTGATGAGGAAGGTTTGAATCTGGCATCTCAACTATCGAAGTCTTCTCATTCATGTAGGTTTTGTCTGCCATCTACAGTTTCATTAGTGGAGCTCTACAGCTCTTACTTCTGAGTCATCACAGTTGATCAGGGCAGTTTTCACTTAGTCTCTCCGCTGCAAATATTAAGTAAAATTGCTGTGAAATTAGTATATTTTAATGTATATGTACAGTACTTTCAACTTTATTTTAATTTGTAGTATGGTACTGTACTGTTTTGTAGGTTACAATACTTTTAATGTCCAGTAGTCATTTGAATCAATGGTCCAAGTCTTCTGATTCCGAACTGTGTACGTTTGTTATGATCATGGAAAAATAAGTTCCATAGCTCAGAATTTGCAAGCAGTCAACAGTGATAAACATCCCTTCCCATATCAGTCTGTTAATTTGAGGGTTCACTGTATTGTTCTCTTGTGTACTTCAGTTTAAACACTTGGTCTACACATCCCCTACCCTTCCTGAAACCTTGTTCCTCTGCAGTCTTACTCTTTCATCCATAATTCTTTCAACAATAACACAACCATACACTTACCCAGTATGGCGGGGCCAGGAGCTGAGTCTCGACCCCTGCAACCACAATTAGGTGAGTACACTCAACAGGTTTATTTCCCTATTATTCTTATTCTCTTTCATCTCTTTTTTCCTTTATACAAAGGAACTATGTGTAAGGGATAGTGACATCACACATCTGTCTAAGACCCACTGTCACTTAAATGTACATAAATGCTGGACTCTACATAAACAAAGCAAATATTTATAAAGCAAATGCAGTTTCTAAAAATAAATTAATATATTTCTTCTTTAATACAGTTTCGAAACTTCAAAATTGTGTACCGACGCTATGCTGGCTTGTATTTTTGCATCTGTGTAGACATAGCTGACAACAATCTTGCATACCTCGAAGCCATACACAATTTTGTTGAGGTGCTTAATGAGTACTTCCACAATGTTTGTGAACTTGACTTGGTATTCAACTTTTATAAGGTAGGTAATGTAGTATTGTGAGTATAATATTTGTCCAGTGTTAGCTTCTTGACTTATGTTATCAGCATGTGCTACTATTTTTTTATTTGTTGCTACTCTCTTTACCAGGTATTGTATTTTTTATCTCTTGCTACTCTCATTACTATACACAAATAACCCGCACATAAAAGAGAGAAGCTTACGACGACGTTTCGGTCTGACTTGGACCATTTATATAGCCATCCTGCTCCACTTCTGGTTAGTGTGACTTTGTAAATGGTCCAAGTCGGACCGAAACGTCGTCGTAAGCTTCTCTCTTTTATGTGCGGGTTATTTGTGTATCGTTCCAGTCACAGTATTGTGCCTTTTTTTGTTACTCTCATTACTAGTTAGTGTTTACCTCTGATACTCTTAAATTTAACATATTTTTTATTTTTTGGCTACTTTCCTATAGGTGTTACTCTGGATTCACTTGTTAAATGTTGACTACCACTTAGTTGATATACAGTATGTGAGAATAATAAACCAAGTTGTACCACACAATGAGTGAAATATGGCATATTAACTGCATTATAGTTTTCTTTGTTTAGAATGTAACTCTTACTGGGAGCTTGTTTTTGCATGGTGGGAGGATTAAAGCCTCTACAGAACCTTGGACTGTACTGACGTGGAATTTTCTAGTTGTAGAGCCTCGGTTATGGAGGCTGACTAAGAGCTGTCTCTGTATATTTGCCTCTCTTGGCACACAGACAATGGGAGGTTCAAGTCTGGTCTGACTGATTTAATCAGCATGATGTTAGAAGGTCTGTAGCCTTCGATCCTGTGGTTGATGTGAAGTCCACTAACATTGTGCATACAATACTTCAACTGTCTTTTTTTCCTCTCACTCTTGAACTTGCCCTCCACACTTTTGCCCTAAAATGAAAGCATTCCCTTTGTCATGTAGAACTAAATGACTCCCATGTCTTTATTTTTTTTTTTTTTTTCAGATCTTATCCACAACTACTGTACTACTAATAATACCTTAACATCAGACATTGACTGCCTTTCTATTTGCACCAGATGACTCATCACAATGTCTCTGGTGGCCTGGTGGCTAATGCTCTCGCTTCACACGGCGAGGGCCTGGGTTCAATTCCCAGCCAGGGTAGAAACGTTGGACATGTTTCTTTCCACCTGTTGTCTATGTTCCCCATCAGTAAAATGAGTACCTGGGTGTTAGTCGACTGGTGTGGGTCGCATCCTGGGACACTGACCTAATTTGCCCGAAATGCGGAGCATAACAAGGGAGTTTCTATATAGTAGTATGTCATTGTTGTCAGCTAGGACTGTATACCTTGTACATGTACTTGTAGTAAATGAAGATATGATTATTATTATTATTATTATTATTATAAATGAGGAATATTTTGGAATTATTGTGTACAGTTTGTTTAAACTATAGATGCATCAGTATATTAATCAGGTCTGGCTAAACAGGTTCCCTGAATCCCTTCATAAATGTTATTTTGCTCACACTCCAGCAGTACATTCATTAAAAACCACTTGTCTTCATTCACTCTTATCTAACTTGCTCACACAAGCCTACTGGATACATACCGTATTTTGCGGCTTATTAGACGCATTTTTTTTTCCATAAAATGTCTCCTAAAACCACCCTGTGTCCTATAAACTGGTCAGTGATGGGAACTATAAGTTTGGGGTGTGCTGTAGCTCTCCCAGTTATGTCCGATGCCAAGCCAATGAAACTAAAACAAGTCTTATAAGCCGCGAAATACGGTAAGTCCCTAAAACTCCAAGCCTCTTTTACGCCCATCCCTCCAACCATTCCTTGGACAACCCCCCTCCCCCCTACCCCTTGTACTTGTCACCCTGGATTTATACACTCGCTTTATCATCTTACCTGGAGTTTACCTGGAGAGAGCTCCGGGGGTCAACGCCCCCACGGCCCGGTCTGTGACCAGGCCTCCTGGTGGATCAGAGCCTGATCAACCAGGCTGTTACTGCTGGCTGCATGCAAACCAACGTACGAGCCACAGCCCGGCTGATCAGGAACCGACTTTAGGTGCTTGTCCAGTGCCAGCTTGAAGACTGCCAGGGGTCTGTTGGTAATCCCCCTTATGTATGCTGGGAGGCAGTTGAACAGTCTCGGGCCCCTGACACTTATTGTATGGTCTCTTAACGTGCTAGTGACACCCCTGCTTTTCATTGGGGGGATGTTGCATCGTCTGCCAAGTCTTTTGCTTTCGTAGTGAGTGATTTTCGTGTGCAAGTTCGGTACTAGTCCCTCTAGGATTTTCCAGGTGTATATAATCATGTATCTCTCCCGCCTGCGTTCCAGGGAATACAGGTTCAGGAACCTCAAGTGCTCCCAGTAATTGAGGTGTTTTATCTCCGTTATGCGCGCCGTGAAGGCTCTCTGTACATTTTCTAGGTCAGCAATTTCACCTGCCTTGAAAGGTGCTGTTAGTGTGCAGCAATATTCCAGCCTAGATAGAACAAGTGACCTGAAGAGTGTCATCATGGGCTTGGCATCCCTCGTTTTGAAGGTTCTCATTATCCATCCTGTCATTTTTCTAGCAGATACGATCGATACAATGTTATGGTCCTTGAAGGTGAGATCCTCCGACATGATCACTCCCATGTCTTTGACGTTGGTGTTTCGCTCTATTTTGTGGCCAGAATTTGTTTTGTACTCTGATGAAGATTTAATTTCCTCGTGTTTACCATATCTGAGTAATTGAAATTTCTCATCATTGAACTTCATATTGTTTTCTGCAGCTCACTGAAAGATTTGGTTGATGTCCACCTGGAGCCTTGCAGTGTCTGCAATGGAATACACTGTCATGCAGATTCGGGTGTCATCTGCAAAGGAAGACACGGTGCTGTGGCTGACATCCTTGTCTGTCAGATATGAGGATGAGGAACAAGATGGGAGCGAGTACTGTGCCTTGTGGAACAGAGCTTTTCACCGTGCCTGCCTCGGACTTTACTCTGTTGACTACTACTCTCTGTGTTCTGTTAGTGAGGAAATTATAGATCCATTGACCGACTTTTCCTGTTATTCCTTTAGCACGCATTTTGTGCGCTATTACACCATGGTCACACTTGTCGAAGGCTTTTGCAAAGTCTGTATATATTACATCTGCATTCTTTTTGTCTTCTAGTGCATCTAGGACCTTGTCGTAGTGATCCAATAGTTGAGACAGACAGGAGCGACCTGTTCTAAACCCATGTTGCCCTGGGTTGTGTAACTGATGGGTTTCTAGATGGGTGGTGATCTTGCTTCTTAGGACTCTTTCAAAGATTTTTATGATATGGGATGTTAGTGCTATCGGTCTGTAGTTCTTTGCTGTTGCTTTACTGCCTCCTTTGTGGAGTGGGGCTATGTCTGTTGTTTTTAGTAACTGTGGGACAACCCCCGTGTCCATGCTCCCTCTCCATAGGATGGTAAAGGCTCGTGATAGGGGCTTCTTGCAGTTCTTGATGAACACGGAGTTCCATGAGTCTGGCCCTGGGGCAGAGTGCACGGCCATGTCATTTATCGCCTGTTCGAAGTCATTTGGCGTCAGGATAACATCAGATAGGCTTGTGTTAACCAAATTCTGTGGCTCTCTCATAAAAAATTCATTTTGATCTTCGACTCTGTCTGGTTAGTGGCTTGCTAAAAACTGAGTCATATTGGGACTTGAGTAGCTCACTCATTTCCTTGCTGTCATCTGTGTAGGACCCATCTTGTTTAAGTAAGGGCCCAATACTGGACGTTTTTCTCGACTTCGATTTGGCATAGGAGAAGAAATACTTTGGGTTTCTTTCGATTTCATTTATGGCTTTTAGTTCTTCCCGTGATTCCTGACTCCTATAAGATTCCTTTAGCTTAAGTTCGATGTTTGCTATTTCTCTGACCAGTGTCTCCCTACGCATTTCAGATAGATTGACCTCTTTTAGCCGCTCTGTTATTCTTTTCCCTCACCTGTAAAGAGAGCGCCTGTCTCTTTCTATTTTACATCTACTCCTCCTTTTTCTTAGAGGAATAAGTCTTGTGCATACATCGAGTGCCACCAAGTTAATCTGTTCTAGGCATAAGTTGGGGTCTGTGTTGCTTAGTATATCTTCCCAGCTTATATCGGTTAGGACTTGGTTTACTTGGTCCCACTTAATGTTTTTGTTATTGAAGTTGAATTTGGCGAATGCTCCCTCGTGACTAATCTCATTTTGTCGGTCTGGGGCTCTGCGCATACATGTCTGAACCTCAATTATGTTGTGATCTGAGTATATTGTTTTTGATATGGTGACATTTCTTATCAGATCATCATTGTTAGTGAAGATGAGGTCTAGTGTATTCTCCATTCTAGTAGGCTCTATTATTTGCTGGTTTAAATTGAATTTTGTGCAGAGATTTAAAAGCTCGTGTGAGTGTGAGTTTTCATCAGAGCTGCCTCCTGGTGTTATTACTGCAACAATATTATTTGTTATATTCCTCCATTTTAGGTGCCTTAAGTTGAAATCCCCCAGGAGCAAGATGTTGGGTGCAGGAGCTGGAAGATTTTCCAGACAATGGTCAATTTTTAACAGCTGTTCCTGGAATTGCTGGGATGTTGCATCCGGAGGCTTGTAGACTACCACAATGACTAGGTTTTGGTTCTCGACCTTTAGTGCTAAAACTTCCACTACATCATTTGAAGCATTAAGCAGTTCTGTGCAAACAAGTGACTCTGCAATGTACAGGCCAACCCCCCCCCCCCTTTTGCCTGTTCACTCTGTCACATCTGTATAGGTTGTAACCTGGGATCCATATTTCGTTGTCTAAGTGATCCTTTATGTGGGTCTCAGTGAAAGCCGCGAACATTGCCTTTGCCTCTGCAAGCAGTCCACGGATGAAAGGTATTTTGTTGTTTGTTGCTGGCTTTAGACCCTGTATATTTGCAAAGAAGAATGTCATCGGACTGGTGGTATTGTTGGTACTGGGGGGGGGATTGTCTCGATATTTGCCTAACCCGCCTCTACAACCCCTCCTCAGCCTTCTGAATTATGGCTTTGGTGATCCCACATTGTCTTTCAATTTCTACAGTTAGAATTCTCTGCACATTATTCACAGCACACACTGTTCCCACACCTAAGCTAACCACTGCCTGTATCCTCCACACTGCAACATTCTAAGCTTATATATCACACAGTTTGGGTTTACTTCTTGTGTTGGTTACAGATGATTTGCATTAGAAGGATCAGTTATACAGCATGCCTATTGCATTAGTGAATTTTATATAGAATATTATCCTTCTTTCTAGTGAAAGAAAGAAAATGTAATATGAAAATAAGTAACAGAAGCTAAATATTTTTTAATTTTCTTCAACAGGCTTACAGTGTAGTAGACGAGATGTTTCTTGCTGGAGAGATCCGTGAAACAAGTCAAACCAAAGTGCTTAAGCAACTTCTGATGCTGAACTCTCTTGAATAACCCCTAGTCAGGATGCTGGAGGTACACTACACTGTAATACTGAGCAGCAGTTTGGAATTGGTAGTTGTTCACTCTGATTAACACTTGACGTGTCTTTCACTGGCACTAGTACTACACAAGGTCCCCAATGAACGTATAGTTAAGGAGTTCAGCAGAGTTACCTTCTGCTGGATTAGTAGTCAAGTGAGGATATCCTTGTCTTCAGAGTGAAAGTGTCTATATCAAGACATATGGTATGTTGTTGTTTTGCAACAATTAATTTTCCACCTATTATAATGAAGATTGTGAATAGCTTGTATGAGAAAGTGTATAGTAGTTGGATGTACATTATTAAATTTCATGATAAAGTATTCATTATCCTGTGAGTTTCATAATTTGTTTGTTATAGATCATGATGTATGTAATTTCATAGATTGTATATTTTTTTGTTTTATTAAAGAAGCTAAGTACAGTATTTCTTTCTTTAATATTTCAAGGAAACATTCCATTGCCTAGGGTATGTGAAGTTTTATATTGTAATATACAGATAATTGCAAGTCAGAAAAGCTTGCCTAAATAGTTTTATTGGAAGACTTCATGTTAGAGTGAATTAAATTATAAAACTGATGTATAATTTTCTTTGACTTGTGTATTAATGTTTTATGATTTCTTTAACAGAAACACCCTCAGTTATAATATACTTTAAAAATGTGATAGTTATAGATGTGAAGCATGTTGTGATTAACTTGTTAAAATAATATTATGAGCGAAACTCAGTCTTAATGTGGTATGCCCAGTTCTATGTATACTGTGTGGGTGTACTTGTTACGTTAGTCGGGACATAATTTTTTTGTTTTAAACGTGCCGACCATCTCCTGTGTTGAAGTGACCCAAAGAAGAAGAAACTTTTACCATCACTTGTTATTACTGTCTTGCCAGAGTTATTCTGATATTGCAACTGCAACCAGCAACATCCCCACACCCCTCCTTGAACCAGCAACATCCCCACACCCCTCCTTGAACCAGCAACATCCCCACACCCCTCTTTGAACCAGCAACATCCCCACACCCCTCCTTGAACCAGCAACATCCCCACACCCCTCCTTGAACCAGCAACATCCCCACACCCCTCCTTGAACCAGCAACATCCCCACACCCTTCCTTGAACCAGCAACATCCCCACACTCTTCCTTGAACCAGCAACATCCCCACACCCCTCCTTGAACCAGCAACATCCCCACACCCCTCCTTGAACCAGCAACATCCCCACACCCCTCCTTGAACCAGCAACATCCCCACACCCCTCCTTGAACCAGCAACATCCCCACACCCCTCCTTGAACCAGCAACATCCCCACACCCCTCCTTGAACCAACAACATCCCCACCCACCTCCAAACAGCAACATCCCTACACCCCTCCTTGAACCAGCAACATCCCCACCCACCTCCTTCAAACAGCAACATCCCCACACCCCTCCTTGAACCAGCAACATCCCCACCCACCTCCTTGAACCAGCAACATCCCCAACCCCTCCTTCAAACAGCAACATCCCCACCCACCTCCTCCAAACAGCAATATCACCACCCACCTCCTTCAAACAGCAACATCCCCACCTCCCTCCTTCAAACAGCAACATCGCCACCCACCTTCTCCAAACAGCAATATCGCCACCCACCTCCTCCAAACAGCAATATCGCCACCCACCTCCTTTAAACAGCAACATCCTCACATCCCTCCTTCAAACAGCAGCATCCCCACCCTCCTCCTTCAAACAGCAACATTGCCACCCACCTCCTTCAAACAGCAACATCCCCAACCCCCTCCTTCAAACAGCAATATCCCCACCCACCTCCTCCAAACAGCAACATCGCCACCCCCCTCCTTTAAACAGCTACATTCCCACCTCCCTCCTTCAAACAGCAACATTGCCACCCACCTCCTCCAAACAGCAACATCCCCAACCCCGTCCTTCAAATAGCAGCATCCCCACCCCCCTCCTTCAGACAGCAACATCCCCACCCCTCCTTCAGAGTGTAGTATGGAACTTTTATTGATAACTTTCTTGTTTTGCGTATGTCCATCGCGTTAGTACTTTACTCGTGACCCTTTTTGGTTTAGCATTTAATTTGATATTATTATTGTACTTTTACTCTAACCATGTTATTCAGTTGTGTTCACCATTTTTTTTTTAATTTGAGCATGGATTGAATTATATTCTCTTCTAAGTATATATATATATGTCTCAGTATGTATTAATCCAGTAAATGGAGTTTTGCAACACTGGAGAGTCGTTGAGATTAAGCTCATCTCCAAGGATTTTCGATACACGTAATTCCGTGTACTTTATTTAATGGAAATTTTGTTTTGTTTGTGCAATTATATTAGTATAGTGTCTACAGTCTGAAGGAGGGGGAGGGGATATTTGCAGGTTGGAGGAGCATCTGAGCTGTAGTATCGACACACCTCTGGCAAGAGTGATGGTGAAGGTGTTTCTTCTTTTAGGGGTTCACCCTACCTTGGTGGGAGACAGCCTGTGTAAAATAAATAAATACTGTATATATACGTATATATATATATATATATATATATATATATATATATATATATATATATATATATATATATATATATATATATATATATATAAATAATTATTACATACATACAGATGGTATAATACTTAGAGATGAATGACCCAGATGGGTTTATCACTTCATTAATGTAATAATGTGTTAGAATTAAAGGTAAATAAATTTTCATTTTAAATTCATTCACAGTACAAGAAGATGTATTTTTCAATTAAGTTCAATTTATATCAATTTATGTAATAGAAAGTTGTGCATTTTTAAATAAAAAAAAAGTGTCAGTTCATGATATATTACAGAGTGTACAGTGGTATGATAGCCTTGTTAAGTGTTTTATCAGTGTTTACTGTATGTTAAGTGTTTCATCAGTGTTCACTGTATGTTAAGTGTTTCATCAGTGTTCACTGTATGTTAAGTGTTTCATCAGTGTTCACTGTATGTTAAGTGTTTCATCAGTGTTCACTGTATGTTCATCTCAAGACTAACATGTATTATATCCAGAGATCAGTTTGAACTCCCCCACCATCAGTACTCACACTTGACTTCCTCTACTAGCAATAGTATTGTGCAGTCAAACAGAATGTAGTTTAAAGAACTGAGTGTTTGTCCTTGTACTCCCATGAATATTGTGTATCAAAATTAAGTGTTCTGTTTTGATTTTGTAATTTATGTATGAGAGTTGTTAGCCCCTTGCAACTGGCATTTTAGTCACCTTATTTAACGCTCGTGGCTTACCGAGGCGGTATTCCTCTCCATTTCTTAATAGAGATGAAAGGAAACACTATAGGAATAAAAACTATTAATGTATTGTAGAAAGAAACTGATAATGTGTGTAAACAGACGTGTAATAGTACGTCCACAACTGCATGTGTAGTATGAACTAGGTGTAAATAGTGGTAACAGGATGTGCACATCATCTTGCATGTTTATGAAACAGAAAAACACCAGCAGTCCAACCAATTATTATATGTATTTTTTTATTAACACATCAGCCATTTTCCGTGAAGGCAAAGTGACCAGAAAAAGAAGAAACACTTTCATCATCATACTCTCCATCACTTTCTTGCCAGAGGCGTGCCTACACTACAGTTAAAAACCTCTTCAAGGGGGCTCCTTGGCGTGGTGAAGAGGCTCTTGATCTGAGGAATTAGACCTGTCAGTCTCCTTCCTCAGACCGAACCTAATTACCCCCCAATCCCCCCTTCCCTATCCCATCCTCCCCTTTTCCCTTTCCTCCTCCCCCTCCCCACCCCTCTCTTTTGCCCTTCCTCTTTTTGGCCTTTGGGATTTTTCCCACAGGCGCGCTAGTTCCTAGGTAGGGGAAAGGGTACCGGGGTCCATCCCATTCCGTTGAGGTTCTTGGCGGTGGCGTAGTTTGCCGTGGAATATGGATCGCCTGGGGATGTCCTGATCCCTCTCCAGTATCCTGGAGAGTGGCTTTGGGTGTCTTTCGGGCGACGGGTGTATCTCTGGAAGCCACCTTTCGGATTCCGGGGGTGGTGGCCGAAGGAGGTATGCTTTGTGGCAGATATCCCGCTGCCCTCTCTTTTGTCCACCGAGGTAGCTCGGCAGATGTGAGGTTGCTATCCCGGATTGCTGGTTTACTGGCATGATGGGTAGGGTATGGCACGGGTTCCATGCTGCATCTGCGCTACTTGCGGTGCTGAGGTCCTCTTGGGCGCGGAGGGAGATTTCTGGCCCTTTCATTCCTCCTAGGAACTATCCCTCCCTGGTCCCCCCTTTTTTTTTCTTCTTTTTTTATTTTTATTTTTTTTTCTTTTTTTTTTTTTTCTTAAAAACAAAAAGAAAGAAGTAACCTAACCATGGCAGCCCCAGTCCATGAACCTGCTACCCCCAGGCCCCTTCTTGATACCGCACCCCGTTCTGACCCCGCCTCGTCTTTGGACCACTCTTCGGACACTCCTCATGCCTCTATACCTCTTGCCAGTGCTGTTTCCTCACCCGCTTCAGGTACTGAGGTCTCGACTGACTCCTTTGATTTATCTGACCTCCGCTCTCCTTTGACTATGCTTCCGGCCTCTCCCTCTACGGTGTGGCAATTTTCGAATCGCCGGCCCATTCCACGTCGGACCAACTCTGGTCCCACACCTAAACGCCAACGACAATTACCTGCTGATGATACTTCTCCACCTTCTCGTTCTTCTCAGAAAAGATCCCTCCATGTTTTAAATACAGGTACTCGCACCCATTTTGATCCTCGATCTCACTCTCTCTTGCATCGATCTCTCAGTCTGCTCTTCCTCTGCAGCATTAGACTTCACCTGGTCTGTTCTCCCGGATTTACATGACAGCGATCATTTCCCAATCATTCTTACTTCCCCTTCATATTCACCACCTCTTCGTATCCCACGCTGGCAATTTGATCAGGCAAATTGGAACCTTTACTTACAACTAACTGTTTTTAGTGAGGCTCCTTCTTTGTCCTCCATTGATGAGCTTTTACACCTCTTCTCGTCCTCTGTTTTAACCGCAGCTTCTCATTCTATACCCCAAACTTCGGGCAGGCATTCTCAGAAATGCGTGCCTTGGTGGTCTCCTGCTTGTGCTCATGCAGTATGTTTGAAACACGCTGCATGGGGCAGGTACCGGTACAATAGAACCACGGAGAGACTTCTTGATTTTAAGCAGAAGCGTGCGATTGCTTGCCGTGTCATCCTCGACGCTAAACGCACTTGCTGGCGAGATTGTCTCCACCATCACCTCTGCTTCCTCTGAGTGCAGTCTGGAAAAAAGTACGAAAACTGAGTGGTAAATATTCTCCTGACCCGGCTCCTGTTCTGCGGGTTGCCGGTGTTGATATAGCAAACCCACTAGATGTTGCCAATGAACTTGGCAATCATCTGGTCCGTATTTCTCGGGGGCTCCATCTATGCCCCTCGTTTCTTTCCTCAAAGTCTGCCAGAGAGTTAGCACCCTTGGACTTTTCTTCTCTCAGAGAAGAACAGTATAATGTGCCTTTTACACTTCAAGAACTGGAGGCAACACTCTCAGCTTGCCGATCATCGGCAGCTGGGCCCGAC